TATATAATCTTGCATTTTAGGTAAAAATGATTTTTATCAAAACCATAAATGTAATTTGACACTTTTTTTTTTGTTTATCAAGGAGTAATGAGTAATAAAGTACATAAATTCTTACATTCAATGTTGTCAGTACATCATCATGTCACTTTCCAATTAGTGTTTTCTGGAGAAGGAAAAGTGGCTGAATTTGTGCTTTGCTAACACCATCTCTGAAGTCTTTGTGTGAAAGATACTTTCTTACCATCTGCCATCACTAATATGCACCTTCATATACATTCATTTTTGTACTGTATATATGTATATAAATAAGCATATGTGTTTATGTATATGTGCATTAGTACATTACTATATATCACGTGTATATTGTGGGGTTTTGTTTGTAATCTTTTATTAATCTTTCATTATTCTTCTCTGCCTCTCTTGTATTAAGCTGCAGTAATGTGCAAATTTCCAAGCTGTGGGATCAATAAAGTTTTATCTTATCTTATTTTATCTTAAAAACAGTTTTTAGTCAGTAGATAACTGTGTTTTTGCTATGAAACTACAAATATGGCCGAACGGGGTGGAGTCGAACACTCAGGGACCTGGAGGAGGCGGGGTGTGAAATGTCTCATTTGTATTTAAAAAGAGACCGCACCAAAACAGCTTGCTCTGAGGCGCAACTTAGAACAGGGGTAAAGCAAGGAAAGCAAGGAGTCTGTGGAGCAACAAAAACGAGGAATTAAGACCAAAGCGTTGCAGTTTTATTTTAAATAGACCATAAGTGAATGATTTAGACGTGAAAAAGAAGGATTTAAAAGCATGATATGATACCTTTAAGAAAAGTGCTTTTGGCAAAAATACCTGTTCTGTTCGAGCTGCCACCGAATGGAATCTCACTCCTGTGATCATTAGAAATTCAAACTATAACACATTTAAAATACTGTTAAAGAAATGGCTTGTTGATAATCAGAGCTGTCAACATTAGATTACAATTAGACCGGCTCTTGCTCCCCTCTGATGTCATCTTGTCTCATGTGGGTTTATTGGGTTGTTTGATGTTCTCTACTAGTTGTTTTATGTGTTTTTATATGCTTTTTAGCTTATAGTACTTTAAGTATTTTGAAGTGTATTGTATTTTCTATTTTGTAATTATGTAGTTTTACATTTAATAGTGTAGGGTGGCTTTTACGATCTGTCTAGGGACTGCAGGTAAAAAATAGCCTTCTGGCTACTTCTGGCATATTTACAGAAATGTTATTAATATGCACTGTCCCTGTAATAAAGGAAATAAAATTAAAAAAATGAGTCATAGCCACAAACTAAATTCAGACTTTTGAGAGAAATGATACAGGTCTCTGGTGATTCAGCTGAAGTAGGGGTAAAACAACTGTTCCCTGATCTGCACTGTAATAGTCTACAGGAAGCTTCTGCATGAACTGGGTGTAAAATATATGTAGATATGAATAACACATCTTTAAAGGCACAGTGTGTAGGATTTGTTGTTTTCAGCGACATCTAGTGGTTGAGTGGTTGAATCATCCCCCGCTTCCAAATGCAAAGGACTTGCTACGGTGTCTCTCAGGTGTCAAAAACCTTTGATAATTCCAACCGCGATGTCTACCAGCAGCTTCAGGGCTAGTGATGTTTCAAGTGGTAAGATTATGAGCTTTAATAAGTAAAATTATCCCAGCTACAATGACAGACAACAAATATTACATTTATAGTATTACAACTAAAACCGTTTTTAACGCCGCCACCGCAGTTTGTCCTTCATGAGCCTTCGTAGACAAGATGGCGGTGCAAGATGGCGGCTGCCTGTAGTGGCGACCCGCAACCATGGAGATATAAACAGCTTTTTATAAGGTAAAAATAATAAAACAAGGTCTTTGTCTGCAATGATTAGACATGTTTTTTATTATTGTCATTAGTGATATCTCAATTTCGGCTAAAAGAATTGCCAAAATCCTACACACTGTGCCTTTAAATGGGGCCCAGATTTAGTCTATTTTACCATATATATGATAATAAACTGGAAGTAAGCTAATAAATTTAGGTTCTGCACCTAAACATTTATTATTCAAATGAATGCTTTAATCCATCCTCAACTTTTACTGCATATTAATCCATATTATTCAGTTTTAATGGCCATCGTATAGTTTTAATACGTTGGGTCTGTCTAAATACATACAGCATGTTTTTGTTCTTGTTTTAATACAGATTCTCCTTCTGTCCGAAGTATTTATGAGGGAGCTGAGGCCCTCTGTCGGCTGCTTCTGATTAGAAATCAAAACAGGAGCACACAGTGCAAAGATGTGTCCTCTGATCACACTGTGGCTCTGTGGTCATCAGCTCAAATTTTATAAAATCTGTCATAAACAAACGATCAAAGCAGGATTGTGACACCTCCTGAATGACCCCCGCATGTCTGACCTGCAGGAATGATCCCGATGCGAAGCGAACAGGGGGACAGCTCTTCATCGGGACAGTTCAGATCAATGCCGCCGTCCAGCTGCGTCCTCCAGACCAACCCGTGGACGATCTCGCTGAACATGCCGTCCCCCCCCACACAAACCACGCTGTCAGAGACAGGAGGGACGGTCAAACGTCTGAAGACATAATCTGGTCATATCAAAAAGAGCCAAACTCACCCATCAACAAGCTTCAGCTCTGTACACGTCCTCAGGTGATCCCTCGCATGATTGGCGTGCTCCGTTACTATTTCAACAGTTAGAAGACATTTATTATTGGACGTGATAAATTAGTGGAAGCTTCAGCTAATCCAGGTGAAACAATAAGGACGTAGTTATACAGCTCGTTGTACAACATCTGAAACATAAAAATGCATGAAAGTGATGGAGGACACACCGATAACATGAGTTATAATGGAGGCCTGGGCGAACAGCGGCGCCACCTTCTGCTGGTAGATGCGTTTGCCCTGACGCTTCCCACCGTGCGGATTGATGTAGACCAGCAGGCATTTGGGTCTGCTGGCTGTAAACAACAACAACAACAACAACAACAACAACAACAACAACAACAACAACAACAACAACAACAAGTTTACAGAGGAGTCCTCCCACGCCTGAGTATGAAGCCGTGTGTTGCTGTGAGGTCTTACTGAAGGTGGCGAGCTGCTCTCTGACGCTGCTGACCCAGTTCTGACAGAGAGACCGGTCCGGACAGGTGAAGGTGACCTCAGCACACCGCCAGCGGTGCTGCCGACACCTCTCCACATACGATACTGAAATAAAGCAGAAACTTTATTTACTCTACATACAGTATTGACAGAGGGGGTATGAAGTCATATTTCAATTTGTAACGTGTAACAAAGTGTTACATTTTAAATAAATACAAGTATCACTTATGTTTTATTAATAATAATAACAACAACAACAACAACAACAACAACAACAACAACAACAACAATAATAATAATAATAACTTTTATTGTTAACGTCTTTAAAGACACTCAAGAACACTTTACATCTAGCCTGGTAAAAACCAGCCCCTTGTTCTTTGCTTTGCTCAGAGGGTCTGGGCTCTCAGCTACTGGCTCGCTGCACGATGTAGCTGCTTGACTTCTGCTAACTGGAATTTGTGAGGACCATTACTTCCTGTTTGGTTGTTTACCATGGACAGCAACGGCATTGTTTTACACCTGCTGCCTTCAGGAACGTCCAAGTTACAATCAGCGATGTTCTCCACTAGATTCGAGCCTGATCATCAGCTCCAAGTTGTTAAAAAAAGCCTCAAATTTTACGCATCGAATTACATTGACAACTATGAAGTTAACAATTAAATACATCTAGTCACTCTTTGGCTAACTAGTTTTAGCTCGTATCTACTTTAAACTTATTCTTCATTTCTACTTTACAACTTATGGACTCTCGGTTTCTGCAAATAGGGATGGCGTGATTTTTGATTCAATCATCTATCAGCAATTGAAGGGTTGGAATGCGATTTTTTTATTTTAAAGGGCGATCTTTATTAATTAATTAAATGCTGTGCCAGGGATGTCAAATAAATTTAAAATGCGCCCTTCTCTGTAAATTAAAATGTTTTACTCATCATCATCATTTTGATCTATGCAAATGAGGGAATAAAATAATTAATATACATTGCTGCGTCTCTGTTTTTTAATTTTTTTCTCGGAGTCGGTGCCAACATCCTGTTTCTCTTTTCGTCATCTTCTTGCTTTGGTGTGCCACAAATGACCCAAATATTGCTATATTATTACGTTTAGTTACAAAACGAATAATCCATGACAATCATACATTTGAACAAACAACTTTAACCAGTTCTGAACCGGACCGGAGTGCATGGCCTCACCCCTGCTTTCCCCCGTCACTCTGGGCTCTGGTGTGTGTGCGTTTTTGAAGGGTTGAACTTTTCACCCCTCCACAAAAGAACATGTACTTGGTCTGAAGTTTGTGGGAGTGTTTGTTTGTGCTGAAAGCGCTCTGACGCTGCGTTTGCTTCAACCCCTCGCTTAAAAAAAAAAAAGAGAAAAAAAGGGACGTTCCCAGGAAGCCGCGATTTATAAAGATAGTCAAACTGAGTCTGACAGCCCAAACCTCATAAAAGGGGATAAAACAGATGATTTTCATGGTAAAATCTGACTGATGAAAACTTTTGAGCTTAATCCTGGACCAGTTTGTGGATAAACAACGTCGAGTGACGAGTGTCTGACATTTTTTTTCCACACTGGACTCCACCGGTAGAGAAAATCCATGCAGTGACGTATGCTAAAGCAGGAGGGGGGTTTCCCGGCGCGGTGTGTCTCAGGAACTAAAGTATGTGCGAAGTCATTCGGAAAGAAAGACGAGCACAAAATAAGCAACTCACGTTAAAAAGTAAGCCCAAAAAACCGCAACCTGCGTCACGGAATTTACAAGTGACTTTAGAAAAAAAGAAGCCGTCGCTTATAATATGCGGACCTGTCTTTTTTTTCCTTATTCATTTTTTAACAATGTAACTGCGCATGCCTTATCAGCCGATTGGATCGTCTATTGGCGATAGCCAGCAACCATGATCTTATGATCTGATAATAGGGACGATTTCCTATCCTTATTATGTAACGTATGTTTTAACCCAAATTGTAGTTTCATTTCTCTTTCTTACCCTTTTTTAATGACCACAGTGTCCAACAAAGACTCATCAGAGAAAGTGAGCACCAGGGCGGTCAGTTACAGAAAGCCTGATAAGACTCACGATCTCAGAGTAAGGTGAAACAAGAAGTGTTGATCGGTTCCACAAAGACAGGACTATATTTTGGGGTTCTCATGTCACTAATGTTTAAGTTAAGTAGAAAGTATTTCTAGCTTTTGAAAAAAGTGATGGAGTTAAAATAGCTTTAGCATTAGCTAGCATGTGAACCACATAATGTCACAGTCAAATGTCCTCTGGAGAATGGTTTTATGGTCAGACAAAAGAAAGTATGTTTGGAGGAGTCAGTCTGCAGCAGCTGTAAAGCATGGTGGTGGTAGCATCATCATGAGGCATTGGCTGCTTTAAACAAGGTGGGATAATGAAGGAGGACCACCTCTTCTCATACAGACCAGGTTTACCTGTGAAGGCCTGCCTGCAGTCCTTTCCTTCTCCCTCTCTGATCTTCTTCCAGCTGCCATCATCATCATCGTTTGGTCTGTGGCTGTCCTGTTCTTCCTCTCTGACAGAAATGATCTCTGACACCGGCACGCTGTGACACACACCTGCAACAACACACACACACAATTTTGTTTTGTCTGCAGCCTTTGAGCAGACGGGTTGTGAACTAAAATAATTGTTGTTTCCAAAGACACACACGTCCTGTTCTAAACTCAGCCTGCAGGGTGTTTTTTTTTTTTGTTTCAGGTTGTCACTCCTTTGTGAATCAGTGAATCATGTGACTGACCACAGTTTGTCTCCTAACTCTCAACAAACACTGCCATCAGGCTGCCAATCAAAACACACAAATCATCAAATCCACAAAAGAAAAACAAACATGAAGCGAGACTTCCTGCTCAGCCCTTTTGGTATTGTTACCCCACACAGGAAGCTTACACAATTAAACGCCTGAAACTCTTCTGTGGGCTGTGGGAGTGGACCTGCAGCTGCTCATCATGCAGTCTGTGTTGTGTATCCGGGTTCACATACAGGTCCTTCTCAAAAAATTAGCATATTGTGATAAAGTTCATTATTTTCTGGAATGTACTGATAAACATTAAACTTTCATATATTTTAGATTCATTGCACACCAACTGAAGTAGTTCAAGCCTTTTATTGTTTTAATATTGATGATTTTGGCAAAAACGTAAAGAAAAATCAAAAGTCCCAATCTCAAAAAATTAGCATATTTCATCCGACCAATAAAAGAAAAGTGTTTTTAATACATAAAAGTCAACCTTCAAATAACTATGTTCAGTTCTGCACTCAATACTTCCTTTTTTTCATCATATGCTAATTTTTTGAGATAGGGATTTTTTGTTTTTCTTTACTTTTTTGCCAAAATCATCAATATTAAAACAATAAAAGGCTTGAACTACTTCAGTTGGTGTGCAATGAATCTAAAATATATGAAAGTTTAATGTTTATCAGTACATT